AGGGTTTTCTATGTAGCCCTGGCTGTCCTGAAACTCACTCTATACACAAGGCTGGCCTCAAACTCAGAGAGACTTAACTTTTAAAGTGTTGAAATTGTTTTTTTTTTTTTTTTTTTGATTTTCGAGACAGGGTTTCCCTGTGTAGCCCTGGCTGTCCTGGAACTCACTCTGTAGACCAGGCTGGCCTCGAACTCAGAAATCCGCCTGCCTCTGCCTCCCAAGTGCTGGGATTAAAGGCGTGTGCCACCACCGCCCGGCAAGTGTTGAAATTGTTAATGACAATGGGAACTTTTAAAGTTGGACCAAGTGTTTTTTTAATTATAAGGTGACCATGGGCTTACAGAGACAAGGAGTTATGGTTTTACATGATGTACTCTATGCGTCAGGCTGATAAGGGGTGGAGTTGTGATGTGTGGGGAGCCAGATGGATCCAGAACTTTCTCAGAGGCCCTGATAAAAGGACAAAGGAATCTTTACTTTGGTGTCCTTGTCCAGGAACAGACTTGGCAAGTACAGTTTAAAGTTGAGCCAGTGTCTCGTAGGAGTCAAGGTTGAGGTTTCTGGGAACAATGGGAGACCCAGATCTTCTCCTTGGGCTGAGATTATCAGATTGGGCAGCTGTGTCGGGGTGTCCTGTGTCAACTTTGTTGCGTTTCGCTCTCTGCTGACCTTGGCTGTTTCTCCTCTCCCACTCCCACCTTGGCCAATGTATGACGCTCTTTCTTTGTTCATCTTTACAGGATCTCACTGTGTAGTCCTGGCTGTCCTGGAACTCACTCTGTAGACCAGGCTGGTCTCAAACTTAGAAGTCCACCTGCCTCTGCCTCCCGGTGATGCTGTGCTTCTTAATAAACGTGCCCAGGACCTCTTGGTCCCAGCTATTGCTTCGTTGTCTTCACTTCTTGTCTTAGTTCTCATCCTGTCCTCTCACCGTCTGGGACTCTTATTCCTAAGAATTTGGGTCAGGAACCTTTTAATTGTCAACTTGACATAACCTAGAACTCTGTGGGAGAAGGATTTCTGAAAATATCTGAGTGTGAGGGATTATCTTTTTTTCTGTTTGTTTGTTTGGTTGGTTGGTTTGTTGGTTGGTTTTGTTTTGCAAGACAGGGTTTCTTTGTATAGCAATGACTGTCCTGGAACTTGCTCTGTATACTAGGCTGGCCTCAAACTCAGAGATTCACCTCCCTCTGACCCCACATACACAAGCGCTGGGATTAGATGTGGAGCTACCACTACCCAGCAGGGGATTATTTAATTATATTGGTTGATGCTGGGGGACCCGCCCACTGTGGGTGGCACCATTCCCTGGGCTTGGGGTCCTGGACTGCATAACTATGCAAGTATATAAACGTATAAGGGTGTGAGCAGAACTAGCATGTGTGCATTAATGCATTGTTCTTTTCGTTTGACTATGGATATGGTGTGACTAGCTGCTTCAAGTTCCTACTATCTTGATGGACTATAACCTAGAACTGTAAGTCAAATAAACCCTTCTCCATTAAAGTCCTTCTGTTAGGGTATTTTAGCACAGAAATAGGAAAGGAAACTAAGGCAAAGCACCAATATAATCATTACAACATTACTAAAAGGCCAGCAGGAGAGTTCAGTAGGTGAAGTCACTTGCCACCATAATTGAAACCTGGTACAAAGAAAGAACTGGTTTGAGGCCGGGCGGTGGTGGCACATGCCTTTAGTTCCAGCACTCAGGAGGCAGAGAAGCAAGTGAGTCTCTGTGAGTTTGAGGCCAGCCTGGTCTACAGAGTGAGTTCCAGGACAGCCAGGGCCACACAGAGAAACCCTGTCTCAAAAAAACCACAAAAAAAAAAAAAAAAAGAAAGAACTGGTTTGTACAAGTTGTCTTCTGACCTCCACAACACACTGAGGCACTCAGACAGCTACATGGACATGGTGCACACCCATGTACTCAGGCGTGTGCGCGTGCACACACACACACACACACACACACACACACACACACAAAATAAATAAATCTTCAAAAATAAATAGGTAGAGGCTGGAGAAATGGCTCCATGGTTCCGAATACTTGCTGCTCATGCAGAAGACTCAGGTTCGGCTCTCAGGACTCTATGGAGCCTCAGAAGCACCTGTAACTCCAGCTCCAAGGGAAGTGACACCTAGTGTCTGAGGGTGCCTGGACCCACACGTGCATACCCCCACACAGATAATACATATAATTAAAGATTATTTTAAAAAAGAAATTATTAAAATAAATAAATAAATAAATAAATAAATAAATAAATAGGGGGCTTGAGAGTTGGCTCAAGATTAAGAGCACCTGTTGCTCTTGCAGAGACCCCAGGTTCTATTCCCAACTGTTCACAAGTGTCTGTAATTCCAGTCCCAGGGACTCTGAGTCCCTCTGGACCTCTGCAGACACTGGATGCCTGTGGTAAACATACATACAAGAAGGCAAAATGCACATACATGTAAAATTATAAAATAAGCAAAGCCTTTAAAAACAGATAAACTACAGTCCTAAAAGCAGAACATATAAGTAAGTTTAGCTAAAGGATACTTTATTAAAATCTATAACGCATTTGCAAGGAATAGAGACCAGGACCAGGATTTCCAGTTGTATTTCCTGGGTTGTGGGGTATTAATCAAAGCATTTTGAATTTTTCGTTCTTTTGTTTTCCATGGCAGGGTTTCTCTGTATGGCCCTGGCTGTCCTGGAACTTGTTCTGTAGGTCGAGCTGGCAGCAAACTCAGAGATCTGCCTGCCTCTGCCTCCTGAGTGCTAGGATCAAAGGTGTGAACCACTACTGACTGCCAGAACTTTAGTTGGTTTTCTTTTTTGGTGGGGGGAGGTGTTTTGTTTTGTTTTTGTTTGTTTGTTTGTTTGTTTGTTTTTATTAAGGATTGAAATTGGGGCCTTGGCTGTGTTTAGCAAGCACCTGACTACTGAGGTGCTCCTGAGGGACTCTTTTATTTATTAAGTTCTTTTTTTTTTTTTTTTTTTTTTTTTTTTTTTTTTTTTGTTTTTTTTTTTTTTTTTTGTTTTTTCGAGACAGGGTTTCTCTGTACTGTAAAGTCCTGGCTGTCCTGGAACTCTGTAGACTACGCTGGCCTTGAACTCAGAAATCCGCCTGCCTCTGCCTCCCAAGTGCTGGGATTAAAGGCGTGCACCACCACTGCCCGGCTAAGTTCTTATTTTTTTAAGGTGTGTGTGTATATATGTGTGTGTATATTTCTTTGTCTGTCTGTCTGTCTGTCTGTCTCTCTCTCTCTCTCTCTCTCTCTCTCTCTCTCTCTCTCTCTCTCTGTGTTTACTTGCATAACCATAGAGGCCAGAAGGAGTCATCAGGTCCCCTGGAGCTGGAAGTATACGCAGCTGTAAGCTCCTCCGTATGGATGATGGGAACAGAATGCTGATCCTATACTAAAACAGAAAGGACTCATAACTATGAGACATCTTTTAACCCCTTCTCCCCTTTTATTTTTGAGACTTCTCTCACTTAAATTTCCAAGATGACCTTGAACTTGTAATCATACCATTATATAGTTGGGATCAGAGGCAAGTGGCAACAGGTCTTTTTTGATTTGACCCCCAGACAAGGTCTTACTGTGTATAACCCTGCCTGCTCTGGAACTTATTATATAGATCAGGCTGGCCTCAAACCCACAGACCTGCCTGCCTCTGCCCCCCTCCCCCAGGGGTTGGTGTTAAAGGTGTTGATTAACAAACCAAAATAACTTGCTGGTTTATCCTTCTATCTTTGGGTGATTGCATGGTGTTTATTGGGGGCTGGAGAAATGGCTCAGTGGTTAAGAGTGCTTACTGCTCTTTCTAGAGGACCAGATTTCAGTACTCAGTACTCAGATAGGCAACTCACAACTGCCTCCAGTTCCAGGAGATTTGATACTTTCTTCCAGCCTCTGCAGGAACCTGAATACACACACACAGACACTTAAATTTAAAAAAAATTTTTTTAATTGGTCAAAACTTTTCTGGATTCCTTCATCCCTTCATCCTGTCAGATTCAATACAGGAGTTAGGGACTGCAAAGATTTTTCTTTTTCTGTACTTAATTAAACGCAGGCAGTAGATTGAATTTGAGAGTACAAGTGTTTATAGCAGTTGCATAAACACAGTGCAGTGGGAAACAGGGAGTTAGAATGTGATTAGCGATCCTGGCACATTTTAAAAATGATTATGCTTGAACTGACATATACACAGTAGTGCATGCACACGTGTGTGTCTGTTGTGTTTGAGGCAGTCTCACTATGTAACTATGTAGCCCAGGTTGGCCTGGAAATTGCAGTTCAGATCTGAGTACGAGTGTGCACCTTGTAAACAGTACTGGGAGGTGAAGAAGATCAAGAATTTAGTCTGACCTCTACAGCGAATTTGCAGCCATCCTTTCTCAAACCGTAAGAACAAAAACAAAAGAAAAATCCAAATATATTTGCCGGGCGGTGGTGTCGCACGCCTTTAATCCCAGCACTTGGGAGGCAGAGGCAGGCAGATTTCTGAGTTCGAGAGTTCGAGGCTAGCCTGGTCTACAGAGCGAGTTCCAGGACAGCCAGGACTACACAGAGAAACCCTGTCTCAAAAAAAAACCAAAAAAAAAAAAACAAAACAAAACAAAAAAAAAAAACCAAAAAACAAAAAAAAAAAACCCCAAAAAACCCCCCAAAAAAACCCACCAAAAAAAAAAAAAAAGAAAAAGAAAAAAAACCCAAATATACAAAAGAAAGAGAGCAGAAGAGGGGGAAAATTCCAGCAATCCTGCCTCACACTGCAGAATGTTGATGCCTGGCGAGTGCCATCAGGCACAGTTGTGCAGAGCGCTTACAGCTGCTGCACAGATGCGAAGATAGCCACCTCAACTTGATGACCAATCTTTGCATGTCCGTGGCGCCTACAATTCCCAGAAAGCACCGCGGAGCGCGCAGGCGGGGCAGCGTGAAGACTGAGTTCTTTGATTGGTGATGAGCGCCAGGCCAATCGGAGGTGCTGTTGTTTGTCAGTCCCGGAGCCGGTCCGCAGAGGGAAGGTGGCAAGATGGTGTTGGAGAGCACTATGGTTTGGTGAGGAGCTTCGGATGTGTCCGGGGGCGCGTCTGGGTTGCTGGTGCGCGAGGCGCCGAAGCCTGAGGGCCTGGGGTGGAGACAGGGCCGCCGGGCGAGATGTGGCTTTGGGGCCCGCGGGAGACAGGCAGGCGACTCCCTGAGTCATCCTGGCCCAGGAACGCAGGCCCGGGGACCCTGGTTCCCTTCCCGGACCCTGCCCTCCATGTCTCCCGTAAAGCAGAGGCCAACTGCCCCATCCTCTCGCCTCCAACTTTTCCTTTTCTCTGTACTTTATCTCACGTAAACCTCACAACAGCATTCGAGGAAAATAGTCCTTTATTTCATAGTGAGTCGGAAGGACTTTAGGTGATCTGCTGTGCCACACAGCACATTAAGTGATCATGATAAGCCGGAGTCAAATTCAAAACTACACTGCTCTTCTCCGATGAATTAGGTCTTACCAGGTTTATACTTGGGATGAGTACCTGTTAGGAGTTAGATTAGAAACTGAGGACAAGAAAAATAAATAGAAATTAAGCTGAGAATATATTTTTTTCAGGGCTACAAGAGGGTATTCTTTTGTGTTTTCAGGTACTGGGAGTTAAGTCCAGAGCATTGTAAACGCTGGGAAAGTGCTCCACCAATGAGCCACACCCCTTCTGGATTGCATTTATTATTTGTTATTATTTTTTTGAATGGAGTTTTGACACTGTAGCTCAGGTTGGCTTTGAAGTCTTTATTTGAAAATATGCAGAGGCTGGCCTTGAACTTGGAATGAGTATGTAGGATTATAAGCCTGAGTCACTAGGCCCACGTTTCCATTTGGAGATTGGCTAGCACTGCCACATACATTCAGGCTGGCTTAAGCTTGTTCTCCGGCACTTGGAGGGTGAGGCAGAGGGTTTTCATGATCAGGACTACCTAGCAAGAGTCTGTCTCAAAACAAGACAACCAGGATGTCCAGGTCAATTTGAATTTCAAGCAAATCAGGAGTGATTTTTAATATTAAAAGGGAATTTAAGTGCAACCCAAATATTGCTCTTACAAGTTACTTGTTGGAGCTGGGCCGTGGTGGTGTACACCTTTAATCCCAGCACGTGGGCCACAGAGGCAGATTGATCTCTGCGAGTCTGAGGCCAGCCTGGTCACAGAGTGAGTTCTAGGACATTCAGAGAAACCCTGTCTCAACAGATGACAAAACAAAACAAAAACAACAACAAAATAGTTACTTGTTGGGGGTGGAGAGATGGCTCAGTGGTAAGAGCACTCTATGTTCTTGCAGAGAACCAGTGTTTGGTCCCAAGCAGCCATATTGTTTACTGCTGCCTTCTTGACAGGACCAGAATATCTAGTGCCTCTGATCTCTGTAGGTGCATGTGTGCACACACCTAAAAACAATAAAAATAAATCTTGAAAGTTATTATTCATCTGAAATTAAAATTTAACCTTAAGTCCCATATTTTTGTTTTCTAAGTTTGTTTTTACTTCTGGGAGAGAGTATGTTAAAATAGAAAAAGATGGATTTTTGAATCCAAACTATTTGCTGGCTGGCACTTACCTTTTGCACACTGTTGGAGAATTGTAGTAACTGCTGTGTGTCTCGTAAGTAGGTAAGCCATATGTGACGGTATAGAGTACTGTAGCGGCATGGTGTTCGGGGAGTCCTCAGAATTTAAGATCTGTAAAGAGACATGTTGAGGTCATTACAAAGTTGCTGAAGTAGAAGTCCCATGTTGGGGAAACAGACCAGAGTACCCTTAGCGTAGATTGTGGTTGTGAAGTGGGAGGAGTCACTGTAGAAACAAATGACTGAAGAGCTTGGACTCTGTTCTGTACCCCAGTGAGAAGATTCTGAGGGTGATGGAGTCAGACTTTTGTACAGACTGGCACTGATTTAAGAATATTGATCTGACCAAATGTGCACACCTGTAAAGGTGTCAAGAACACGGGATAGTTGAGACAGAGGGATCATGAGTTCAAAGCCAACTTGGAATGCATATTGAGGTCCTGTTTAAAAAAATATTTAAATATGTAAAAGGAAAGATTAGAACCTGAGACCTTAGCTGTTGGGGTGTAATTGCTCAGGAACAGAGTAATGAGACTCTCCTGTTTTCTATGAGGTGTCTTGTATTTCCAGGCAACAGTTTTCTGTAGGGGCCTATTCTAAAATGCATGTGCATTGACTTTAGCCTGCTGAGCCAGATTCTCGTGTTAGTTTTTTTAATACATGGCATTACCCTTGGACAGTAGGCTAGCCTCGAGCTCACTGGAACTCTGTTGTATTTATTGCTGTGATAATAGAGATGTTAGTGTAAATCAGATGTGCTGGCCTCCTGTGATCCCAGCACTTAAGAGGTAGGCTCAGGAAGCGCAGTTCAGTGCCATCTTCAGTTACAGACAGCTCATCCTGTTTCTAAGGGAGACTGAGGTTGAGGGAGAGAGGTTGAGAGGGGACAGAGTGACAGCATCTCGGTGTGTTGCTCCCCCCTAGCCCCCAAATCCTGGATTCAAAAAATCCTCTTTCCTTGACTTGCCGAGTAGCTGGGCCACAGGCATGCTCTGTTGCCTGCCCTGTGTTGGTGGACTCATTGATTTTGTGATATTGGAGATCACACCAGGGCCTTGTTTGTGCTAGGCAAGCACCCCACCACAGAACTTCATCCCAGCCGTATTCAGTATTAAAATTATGATGCCATGGAAAGGTTGGGTAATACCTTAAACCCAACTTTTTATGATTTGGGGGATGAAAGAGAGAATTACATGCTGCTGAGGGAAAGCAGTTCCAAGAAATACAGATAACATCACCCCATTCATACCAAGCTGGGGATAGGGAGAGCTGGGCAGTGTGGTGTTTTGTTTGAAACAGGATCTTGCTGTGTAGCCCTGCCAGGAATTCCCTGTAGTCCTCCTGCCTCTGGAATAGTAGGATTAACAGTGACAATGTGGCTTTTTAAGGGACACATGCATAGGTGGTAAGGCACCTGTGATTTTCCCACCAGTGACCCCTCTCTCTCCCCAGAGCTGGTGAAGATCGCACAGCTTCGTCGTTCATGATCAGCTCATGTCTCCCCCACCCCACCCCCGTCTTTCTGTCCCCTCACCCCCTCTCTCTGGAATGTGGCTCAATGGTAGATGGTAGGTTGTGTGACCAAAAAAGGTGGGAAACTGAGAAACTGGAGTCTATGCTTCATATTATGTAGACTCTGGTTTGGGTTTGTTTTTTGTTGTTTTCTTTGAGACTTTGAGATTAGGTCTCACATAGCCCAGGCTGGCCTGAAACTTACAATGTGTTTGAGGCTGGCCATGAATTCCTGATTCTCCTAGCTACATACACGAAGTTCCAGGAGTACAGCTGTGTGCTGCCTTACCTGTTTAAGATGAAAGAGTTCCTAGCTGGAGAGATGGCTCAGTGGTTAGGAGCACTGACTGCTCTTCCGGAGGTCCTGAGTTCAATTCCCAGCACCCACATGGTGGCTCCCTCTTCTGGTGTGTCTGACGAGATCAACAGTGTACTCACATACATAAGATAAATTAAATCTTTTTTTTTTGGTTTTTCAAGACAGGGTTTCTCTGTGTATCCCTGGCTGTCCTGGAGCTCACTCTGTAGACCAGGCTGGCCTCGAACTCAGAAATCAGCCTGTCTCTGCCTCCCAAGTGCTGGGATTAAAGAAAGGTGTGCGCCACCACCACCCCCCGACAAATTAAATCTTTTTTTTTTTTTTTTTTAAAAAAAAGAAAGAATTCTAGGTGATTCTGTGTTCCAAGAAGGCTGAAAGCCACGCTGTCGAAGGTCCTCCATTTATAGAGGCTGTTTCAGGGGAATCCTCCGGTATTCCTTTCTCTCTTTTCTCCTAATCTGACAGTGTGGACAACAGTGAGTACATGCGGAATGGAGACTTCCTTCCCACCAGGCTGCAGGCCCAGCAGGATGCTGTCAACATTGTATGTCACTCAAAGACCCGAAGCAACCCTGAGAATAACGTGGGCCTGATCACACTGGCCAAGTACGTGGGACACAGTGGGGCTGTGAAGGTGGGTGGTGCTCCCATGTTGGTTGCAGGTGATGACCTTTGGTTGATAGCACAGGTTGTGCTCATCCAGTCCTGCGCTCTGCCTCCTTCAGTGGTAGGACAGCTACCACTGTGCTGGGGGAGAATTTCTTGACTGACTTCTTTTTTCACACAGTGTTTTTCATGTAGTCCTGGCTAACTTCAAACTTGATATGTACCTTTTTTTTTTTTTTTTTTTAAAGTTTTTTGAGACAGGGTTTCTCTTTGTAGCCCTGGCTGTCCTGGAACTCATTCTGTAGACCAGGCTGGCCTCTAACTCAGAAATCCGCCTGCCTCTGCCTCCCAAGTGCTGGGATTAAAGGCGTGCGCCACCACCGCCCGGCGTACCTTTCTTTTTTTAAGATTTATTTTGTATTTTATATATATAAATGTTTTGCCTGCATGTATGAATATGTATGCACCATGCTCATGTATGGTGCCCACAGAGGTCAGAAAAGGGATTCAGATCCCCTGGAACTGTAGTTAGAGCCGATTTGAGCAACCATGTGGTTGCTGGAAAATGAAACCGGGTCCTCTGCAAGAGCAGCGAGTGTTCCTAACCAATGAACCATCTCTTCAGAAAAAAGAGAAAAGTTGCTTTTAAGGTCTCTAAACAAAAGATGAATAGCCAGGTGGTGGTGGCACACACCTTTAGTCCCAGCACTTGGGAGGTAGAGACAGGTGGATCCTTGATTTTGAAGCCAGCGTGGTCTACATAGTTTCAGGACAGCCAGGACAGAGAAACCCCATCTCCTGGGGAAAAAGAAGAAAGAAAAGAGAAGCTGAATGAATGAGGTTAGGAGGCACTTGTGTGACCTGAACTTACTAAAATGCTTTGCTCACACCTAGTGACTGTGAGGTGCTGACCACACTCACCCCTGATACTGGCCGCATCCTCTCCAAGCTCCACACTGTCCAACCCAAAGGCAAGATCACCTTCTGCACTGGCATCCGCGTGGCCCATGTGAGTCCTGCTGGCTCCCTGCTGTGAGGGTCGTGGTCATTTCTCTCCAGAGCTGTGATCTAGTGCTAAATAGAGCAAGCCGAGAAAGGACCTAGAGCAGTGGTTCTCGGCCTTCCTGACGGACGCGGTGATCCATTAACACGGTCCCTCGTCCAACCCCTCCCAGGTTGGGAACCCTGAAAACAGTGCTTATTCAGCATAGAAAGGATGGGGCAGGATGAGTATAAGATTTGGTCTTACATTCTGGTCCACGTGAGGCACAACAGAAAGAAGAGGTGTGTGTTGAGTGAGCATTATGGTCGACTTGAGGTTCGTAGGTGCTGCGAGGAGCAGGAAGAGCAGCCTGGTCCAGGGAGGGACATGTGCTTCCTGTGATTGACAGAAACTTCTTTGCCTTTCCCAGTTGGCTCTGAAGCACCGGCAGGGCAAGAACCACAAGATGCGCATCATAGCCTTTGTGGGCAGCCCTGTGGAGGACAACGAGAAGGACGTGAGTCCACACCTGCTGCCAGGCAGAGCCTCCATTTGGAAGGGTCTTGAAGTCCTTAGAACTGAACAGAGGTGTTAGGCATGTCATTTGGGGAAAGGTGGATGTGTGATTTCAGTTCTGGGGGCAGACCTTTGGTAGGATACTGAATTTCTGTGTTTCTGTGAGGCAAGTTCATTCCTCACTACAGAGAATTGACTTCTTGATTTTTCTCCCTTTCTTCCTAGCTGGTAAAATTAGCTAAACGCCTTAAGAAAGAAAAAGTGAATGTTGACATCATCAATTTTGGGGAAGAGGTAAGTCAGGATTGTAGGGCATAGGATCCGATCCTATGGTTATGAACATGGCCGTTCTTTCCTAGAGTTGAGTCCCCTCTGGGACTCTCTGGAGACAGCTGCAGCTGTAGACTGAGAAGCAGTTAAGTGAAGGAGGTGTCTGTCTTGTGCTATCTGCTCTGCAGGAGGTGAACACAGAGAAGCTGACAGCCTTCGTGAACACACTGAACGGCAAGGACGGAACCGGATCACATCTAGTGACGGTGCCTCCTGGGCCCAGCCTGGCTGATGCTCTCATCAGTTCCCCTATTCTGGCTGGTGAGGGCGGTGCGATGCTGGGTCTTGGTGCCAGTGACTTTGAATTTGGAGTAGATCCCAGTGCTGATCCTGAATTGGCCCTGGTAAGCAAATGTTGACCCTGGAGTTCTGTTCTCTGTACAGATACCCAGCTGATGGGACTAGACAGTCCTGAGCACTTCACACCACTGTTTTCTAAAACCCTTTCATTTCCTTGAAGGGCACCAATGCAAGACTAGCATCTTCATTTTTCCCAATTAAACCTCAGGCTCTGCCTTGCTTCTTCCATTTTCCCCTTACAGCTTGTCAGTGTTACAGCGTCCTCCCCATGTGGTAAGCCAGAGGAGGATTCATCCTGTGCAGGATGCCATAGTATCAGCTGTGGTCCCCAGGGGTTGATCTTGTCTTGCTCTTTACCAGGCCCTTCGTGTCTCTATGGAAGAGCAGCGGCAGCGGCAGGAGGAGGAGGCACGGCGGGCTGCTGCAGCCTCTGCGGCTGAGGCTGGAATTGCTACACCTGGGACTGAAGGTGAAAGAGGTGGATTCTGATGTCCTGGGCCTGAGGGTGGAAGCCATTTCAAGCTGCAGTGGGGAGGGCTGGGCTGGGCTGGGCTCTGCTGGGCTTGGGGAGCAGTGTGGCCAGCCCTTTGGAATGTCTACTAGGTCTTCCCTGCCCTTCTGTCCTTGCCCAGACTCAGATGATGCCCTACTGAAGATGACCATCAGCCAGCAGGAGTTTGGCCGTGCTGGGCTTCCTGATCTAAGCAGCATGACTGAAGAAGAGCAGATTGCCTATGCCATGCAGATGTCTCTGCAGGGAGCAGGTGAGCCAGGGCTTGTGTGGCAGGGCCTGGGCAGAGTTTGGGGTGAGGAACTAGCAGTGAGCAGACTGCTGCTCTCCTTTCCTCAGAGTTTGGCCAAGCAGAATCAGCTGACATCGATGCGGGATCAGCCATGGACACATCTGAGCCAGTTAAGGTGAGGGCCAGCAGTGACGTGCTGATCCAGACAGGTCTGAAATCCCTTTGTATTCAGATGCTTATCCTTTTAGGGCCAGGGCCTTCCCTAGCATTTCATAAGAAAGGTCTTAGAGCAACAGAAGGAAACACATAGGTGTGTGTGTGTTTCTTTGTAAACCTTGCCAAGGCAACAGAGTGAGTTAGAAAAGTGTTCCATTGGCCTGGAATTTTCTAGTGAGGGTGGCCTGTTGTCTCCATCTGTAGCAGTTCTGTGGGACTCCTCCTAAGAAGGTCTAGGGGAAAGGAGTGCCTGGTGTTCCCTCCCCCCACCCCCTGCAAGAAAACTGCTGTGGTGCTGTCTGGTTTTCCCCTATGAGCTCCATTAGCAGAGGGCTTCTGTGCTGTCAGGAATGCTCACCTTTCGTGGGCATGATCTTGCTGACTTGCCCCTTTCCTTCCCTTGGCTGCACACCCCCACCCCTGCAGTCAGGAGTGGGCAGCATCATACTGCTGTCCCTTACACTGTGACCTGGCCACTGCACTCTCTCTGCTGCTTCGTGTGCCCAGTTCAAGGTGCCCTTTTTCAGGAGGAGGATGACTATGACGTGATGCAGGACCCAGAGTTCCTTCAGAGTGTCCTAGAGAACCTTCCAGGCGTGGATCCCAACAATGAAGCTATTCGAAATGCAATGGGCTCTCTGGCCTCCCAGGCCACCAAGGATGGCAAGAAGGACAAGAAAGAGGAAGAGAAGAAGTGAGGCCTGAGGAAGGGGCAGCCGAGTCTGCCCAGGAGACTGTAAAATGGGGTTGGTAGGGGCTTAGGTGTGCCTTGCAGCCTTTACAACGGAATAAAGCGTGACAAGTTTTTCCCTTTGCTTCAGATAGTGACAGCTTTGCACATAGAGGGGGGCGTGGGCCTGAAGGGATGACCTCTTCCTGTTCAGCAGAAGGCTCCTCCTGTCATCTCCATCCCGACAGTTCCTTGGGCTTTTCTTTTTTCATTAAGAGAAGCTTTGCTGAGGACTCACTCTTAAATCCCAGTCCATACCTGATTCACAGAATATAGTATGTATGTATGTATGTATGTATGTATGTATGTATGTATGTATTTTTGAGACAGGGTCTCAATATGTAGCCTAGGCTGGTCTATAATAAGTATACTAAATTGACCTCACACTGACAGAGACCCATCAGCCTCTGCCTTTCCTGTTCTTGGGAGTGAGGTATGGACTACCATGCTGGCTCAGAAGAGAATTATGAGGGGTCTGGCAAGGTGGCTCAGTGGGAAAAGGCACTTGCCATGAAAACTCCGTTAAGAATTTTTTTCTGGCTGGGCGGTGGTGGCACATGCCTTTAATCCCAGCACTTGGGAGGCAGAGGCAGGTGGGTCTCTGTGTATTCATGGCCAGCCTGGTCTACAGATGGAGTTCCAGTACAGCCAGGGTTATTCAGGGAAACCCTGTCTTGAACATAAAACAAATTATGTTTTCTATATAGGTGTTTGCCTTCATGTATGTCTGTGTCTTACGTGCGTGCTTGGCATCTACAGAGGCCAGAAGACAGTATTGCTTCCCTAGAAACTGGAGTTACAGTTGGTTGTGAGCTGCTGTGTTGGTGTTGAGACTCGTTTGAGTCCTAGGTTTGGTCCTCTGGAAGAGCAGCCAGTGTTCTTAACTGCTGAGCTCTTTCCAGCCTCTATGATAAGAATTTGATTCCCAGAGTCCACCTAAAGCTGTAAGGACTTGTCCTCTGGTCTCCACTTTGAATGTCATGGTACACACGTGTCCCCCCACCTCAGTCATAAAAAATAGAATATCAAGTAAAAGAGAACTATGAACCAATCACTACAGGACAGTAAGAAGGAAAGATTGAGGCTCTGGTGACCTCAAAGCAGGTTCCTGAGGGACACTTGAGTTCTCTGAAAAGTAAGGAAGAGATGGGTGTGTGCCAGCAGATGGAGACACATTTAGGACCTGAGCAGCTTGTAGGCTAGTGTTTGGAGTGGCCTAGGACACCAAGGACCATTATTTTGTAGACCTAGTTTCCTATGAACACACAAAAAATGGTGTGTCTCCACAGCTTTTCTGGTGAGTTATGGAATAGAATGTAAAATTCATATAATTTTACTCTCTCTTGACTTTTTGAGACATGGTCTGTGTACCGCAGAGTGGTCTCAAACTAGTGATGACTCTTCTGCCTCGGCCTCCCCAGTGCTGGGACTGCAGTGCCACCACACGTTGTGTCCTCGGCCTCCCCAGTGCTGGGACTGCAGGACCACCACACGTTGCATTGTGTGATGCAAGTGGTGACTAGCGTCTGACAGACAGGAAGCATGGAACCTGTGTTTGCCCTAAAATACAACAAAACAAGCACATGACTGCTTAGTCAGGAGTCAGAGTTCTGACACCTACATGTGGGCAAGCTAGGCTTTACTTTTTTCTTCATATGTTTGCAGTCCAGCCAAGCTGAGCTATCTGTAAAACTCATGGCAGTCCTGCCATAACCTCCCAAGAGCTAGGACTATAAGCCAGGCTCCTGTGCTCAGTATATATGTATCCCTTCTTATATTTTTGTGAGCCTATTCTTTAATGGCTGAGCCATCCCTGCAGCCTGCCTCACCCCCATCATCTCACTAGGTAGCTCTGGAACTCACTATGTGGATCAGGCTGGACTCAAATTCACAGAGATCTGCCTGCCTGTGCCTCTCAAGTGCTGGGATTAAAAAACATAGGCCACTATGCTTGACTTTATGTGTGCCTTTCTCAACTCAGAAAAAAATAGGCTGGCTTTGGTGGGTTTGCTTGTGGGTGGGGTAGTGTGCCCATATAGTAACACAAACGTAAATGTTAGAATTTATGGGAATTGTGTTCCTACCTCCTTGTGACTTCTAGAGATTGAATTTAGGTTGTCAGCACTGACTTTGCCCACTGAGTCATTTTGCCAAGCCTTTTACTTATTTTATGGTAGTGGGTGCTTTGCTGTATGTCTGTACATCTTTTTGACGTTTGTGTGCCTGATGCCTGTGGAGGCCAGAAGAGGGCACTAGATCCCCTGGGACTGAGACAGTTGTAGGGTATCATGTGGGTTCTGGGAGCTGAACCCAGGTCCTCTACAAGAGTAGTCAGTGCTCTTAACTTCTTAGCCATCTCTGCAGTCCAAAGTTTGGTTTTTTTAAAAGTCATATGTATGTGTTTGACCTGCATGTAAATGTGCACTATTTGCTTGCCTGATACCACGGAGGCCAGAGAAGGCATCAGATTCCCCAGAACGGGCATTACATATGGTCCTCTTGATACTGGGAGCCAAGCCCAGGTTCTCTGCAAAAGTAGTAAGTACTCTTAAACTGTTGAGCTATCTTCTACCTCCCATCAGCCCCTCTTGTAAACCAGTTTTCTCATTTCTGTATAGGTAGATACCTACTATGACACTAGGTATTAGACTGTTAAAATCCCATATAGCAGAATTGTCCGATTGCTTTGTATGTTTGTGTGTGTGTGCTCACCTTCACACTCCAGGTGTGCTTATATGGTGACAAGGGTGGATCCAGTGTATTCTTCAATCCCTTTTCCTCTTATTTTTTGAGATGAATGTATCACATAGGATCTGGGATCTTGCCAGCTTGTAGACTGGCTGGTCAGTATCCACAGAGATCCTCAATTGTCTTCCAGTGCTGGGATTACAGGTACTATGTTCTATCTTGCTTTTACGTGGGTGTTAGGGGCCAACCTCAGGTCCTCATGCTTACATGACAAACACTTCAACAACCCGACTGCTTTGCTAGAGCATCTGATGCTGAGCTGTCTACAGCTCTGCCTGTGTATTTCCAGACGGGTTTCCTTCGGAACCCTTGGTGCCTCACATTTATTGTGCAGAACAGGCTGGCCTCCAGCTTAAAGAGATTTTGCCTGTGCCTCTTAACAAGTGCTGGATTAATGATTTCTTTCCACATAATTGGAAATGCTTATTAAGGGAGGACCTCTAAGAAAATACAGATTAAGCTATAAAACCAGCTTCAAGTGCACTGCAAGTTTTGGAATCATTATTTTTGTTATGGTCCATAAGGCTCACAGAGGATAATCTAAAAGGAACTGACCTTTTTGTATAGTGTGTGTGTGTGTGTGTGTGCGTGTGTGTGTGTACTTGATGGCAGGTGCCTTTACCAGCTGAGTCATTTCAACACCCTGCCCTGCACAGATTCTTTCCTGAGTTTAGTCACTTTATAGCTGGATTGTTTGAGATTGGGTCTCTGTGGCTCAGGCTGGCCTTGAACTCTTTGAACCTTTCAAGTGCATGAATCATCTGACTCTTGAAATCCTAGAAGTAACCTTTTTATGTACTTAGGAGCTATGAGAGAGATATAACCTCCTATCCTGAGAGAACAAACTCAGTGTAGAATATAGGATATATTTTCTAATTTTATATATATAAAATATGCTTTTTTAAAATTTTTATCATTTTTTTTTCTAGGCAGGGTTTTACTGTGTAGCCTTGGCTATCCCGGAACTCACTCTGTAGAGTAACCTGGCCTTGAATTCACAGAGATATCAGGTCAGGGTAATGAGGCAGGGTTTGATGGTCCAAGAACTTCATGAAGTCAGGGCAAAGGTCTCATAAAGCCCTACTCACCCTTGACCATCTATACTATAGATTCTGTTAGCTGGAATTAGAAAGACACTTTCTTTAGTAATGTAATCACTGGTAAGGTGCTATGTTCCTATAAATAACTTTGTACTATATACTCAATGCTCCTGTCAGCAACCCTGGTGAAATTCACTGAGGCACAACATACACATAGAAAAGACATGAGAGTAAAATGGGGGTCAATTAGGAAGAAGAAATGGGTAATATAATGTGTATGAAAATATAGTGATCCCGGGGGGCCAGGAGGAGGGATGCCAGGATCGGGATGGAACGTGAATGCAAAAGTGAAAGGTGAGCTGACAGGAAGAAGCTGGCGCAAGGAGATGATGTGGCAACAGCAAAGAGGGCAAAGGGAAGTGTCCTGACACAAGACAGCAGGAAATGAGGACTGGCCAGATGGCTGTGCGGCAGCATGGTGTCAGCGACGGCTGTGCCATGCACCTGCTCCTGTGTCAGCTGGGACCCACCATAGGGTGGGGGGAGCAACTCTAGGACTGAGTTTAGGAAAGAGAAACACTTCAGGGGAACAGTGGTACATACCATTAATTCCAGAACCTGGACGCAGAAATGAGTGACTTTCTGAGTTTGAGGCCAGCCTGGTCTACAGAGTGAGTTTCAGGACAGCCTGGTTTACAGAGTGAGTTCCAGGACAGCCAGGGCTATACAAAGAAACCAAAAAAACCCAACAAAAACAACGCACACTGCTGCAATGGAATGGCAGGGGTGGTGCCAGTGATGCATAGCTGTGCAGCTCCCAACTGGAACTCTCCAATGCTACTCCCAAAGCCCTTAAAAGGCGGTCCCTGAGCCTGGTCTACAGAATGACTTCCAAGACAGCCAGGGCTACACACAGAAACCTTGTCTTGAAAAACAAAAGAAAAAAACAACAACCCTGTTTTGTTTTTTTGAGACAAGGTTTCACTATGAAGAGCTAGTTGGCCTGGACCTTCTTACCTGAGCCAGACTGGCTTCAAACTCAGATACATCTGCCTCTGTTTCTGGAATGTTAGAATTACGTGTGTGGGGTCACCACACCTAGTGGAGGACCTTTTACATTAATAACCAGAATTGTGGGCTGGAAGAAATGTTAGCGGTCCCACCAACACAGAACTACTCTAGGGAGTAAATTGAAGGCCAAAGGAGAGAGAGCTGGGTGATATGTAACAAATCAGTGAGATGGTTCAGCAGGTAAAGCCACCTGCAGCCAAGCCTGATGACCTGAGTTCAATCCCCAG